ATTAAATATTATTTTTATTTTTTTAAATCTCTAAAAGTACAAATTAAAAACACTTTTATTACCATTTAAAACAGAGATTGGGATTGGTCAATTTGGCATGTTAGTTGACGTTGTTCACCATTTTTTCCTTTTATTTTAATGGGCCGTTCCACCATTCATTATAGACGAAGATGGGGAAAATTAACACCTTTTTGGAATAAAAATATTAGAAAATTTAATTATAGTTATTAAATAGAAATTAGTATATATTAATTTCAACTTAAAATAAAATTAAAATCCTAACTTATATTTAAAAATTAAAATCTCAATTCAAAATTTAAAATTTTAATCATTTTAAAATTAAAATATAAATATTTAATAAAATAAAATTTTAAAATTTTAATTGTGTTTAATTAAATTAAAAAACGTATTTTAATGTTAAGATTTTGATTTTTTTGAGAGTTATAATTGATATGTATTTTTCATTAAATATATAAAATATTATAAATTTTATTTTTATTAAATTCATCATAAAATTATTGTTATACATATAGGTTCTGATTTTTCCTTTTTCGCCTTTTTTTTTTTTTAACTTTTATTTTAATGGGCCCTTTTACCATTTAAAGATTCGTCAGAAGTTGGAGAAGAGCAAATAAGCCTTTTAAATTGACTGGTATATGAAGGAAAAGTCGTGTAGTCTCGATCACGTCATCCCATTCACACCATCCCTGAAATTTCCACAACCCCACGGTGTTCATGTATTGATCAAGTCTCAGCTTTTAGAGCACACACAAATTCCAGTTACTAGACAAGTGCTTAAACCGTGTAGAGCATTCATCGATATATAAAAATTTCCACTGTTCTCGTTCCAGTGACTGGGGCTGGTGGAAGGGAAGTTGCGAATGCCATGACTCCGGCCCGCTCGCACCCCAACTCACATGGTATCGAAACTTCTTTCCGTGGAATTTCTAAAACTTAGTCCAACCAAGTTGTTAACTTGCATCTCTTTATTGATGGGTGTCAATTTTCTATCGATAAATGTACCCGTTGCCGGGAAAAGAAAAAGTAGTTTTTTCTTAATGAGAAAAGTAATCGTTCTTTTAACTGGTACAAAACTAATGAAATAAAAGGACGGAAATTTGTGATTAAAATTTGATTAATAATGTGACATAGTTTATATTATTAAGTAAATTAATATAAATAATATTATAAATGAAAAAAATTATTAAATAATATAAAATTTATTTTTTAATATTTATAAAGTATATATCAATTTTAACTTTAAAAAATAATTAAAATTTTAAAATTAAAATACTTCATTTTATTTAATTAAAATTTAAAAAATTATCTTATTAAATATTAATATATTAAAATATATAATATTTTTTTAAATTTAAATATCAATATTTAATAATATAAAATTTTAATTTTTAGGTATAAATTAAAATTGCAATTATTTTTTAAATTTAAGATTAATATACGTTAATCTCTTTAAATAATATGATTCGTAATGTATTATTATTTTTAAAATTTTATCCTAATTTATTATCATTCATTTTAGAGAGTGAAGAGGTTAAAAGTTAGCGAACATAGGACTCGTAAAGAATTTTGTAACTGCACCAAACCAGAAGTCCTTCTTCAGTCTGTATTTGCACTCTGGATTGACCTGCAAAGCTCCGAGGTGGATCCTTGGGGTAGACATTCCGATGCTTAAGTCAGCAATAATTAGGGTTACCTTTAGAGTGGAGAAACAATGAGTTTAGGGTTGGTTTCAATTACCTTTTGGCGTGGCCCTTGAGGGGTATTTATATGTTCCCATGAAGAAACCATGTGGCATGCCAAGCAAAATATTCGAGATCTGATGTGTATCTCCAGGCAGTTATTTTGGGATTTGATGCGTATCTCCAAGCAGTTATTTTGGGACCCGGAGGTTGAGCCAAGCAAGATATTCGGGATTTGATGTGAGGATGTCCATCGTAACTGTTATGCTGCTGTTCGAGCGGGAAGCTCTGGGTTTATTTCTTACTTCGGTTGTAAAAGAATTACTGCCGTACGTGCGAGGTTGAGCACCTCGGACCTGCCCTTACAAATCTAAAAAGGGCTACCAAAGTAACCAAAAACAGGAAAGGAAAGAGAATCTTCAGGGGAAGGTGCCTTCAACCAATTGAACAAGTATGGTTATCGTTTAACACAATAATATTATAGTTACATAAATTGTAAAATATTGTTTTTAAAAATATTAAATTTATTTAATTTGATTGATAAAAATATTTAATAATTATAATTATTAATTGATAATTGATAAAATATTTTATATTTATTAATTAATAAAAATCAATTAATAAATTAATATTTTTAAATATTATTTTAAAAAAATCAAATTTTTGTAACCTTAATGATAACATTGTATGTGGCAATAACCACACCCTTTAATGAATCTAATTAAATTCTCATGGCACCAACCCCAATATTCATAAGCACGAACTCAGCTGGTTCTAATAACCAATCTGACAAACTGAAACTACTTCGATCCTTTTGCTCTAGTTTTAACCCAATGGAATGCCCTCAATTTTACAAGCTTAAAAACCTTTCCTTCCTCATATTCAAGGGCCAAGAGGAAGGCAAATGAGATAAGTCCAAGACACTTTTGTAAATTGAGGAAATTTTGGAATAGAACAGGAAAGAAAATAAGTTCAGAGATCTAATTATGTTCAAATTTTAATTCAAATAAAAAAAATGATACGAAAAAATGAGAGGATTGTAGTTGGAAACAATTCCTAAGTCTTCTCTCATTCAAATCTTCCTTTCAGTTAATTGGCAAAAGTCCAAGGTTGGTTCTCGGAATAGACACTCCAATGCCTAAATGAGTGATAATCAGATTTGCTAAATAAGACACAAGGATTAAGCTTGAGATTGGTTTCAATTACTTTTGGAGAAGGACTCTTGGGAGGTATTTATAACCTTTCAGTTAATTGGCAAAAGTCCGAGGTTGATTTTCGGAATAGACACTCCAATGCCTAAATGAGTGATAATCAGATTTGCTAAATAAGACACAAGAATTAAG